TCATTCAGACCCATTAGCTGGACATTTTGGAATACGACGTACATATTTCAAATTAAAGAATAAATATTGGCGGCCGGATATGAAATCATCTATTACTCGATTTATCAAGTCTTGTTTACCATGCCAACAGTACAACGTTAGTCGATTTAAAAAACCTGGTTTACTTTGTCCAATTGAAACACCAAGTTGACCTTTTCAGTTGATTGGTATTGATTACTGTGGACCATTTAAACGTACACCAAGAGAAAATCAATATGTGTTATGCACAAGGGGGAAAAAGCAAGACTTCATCTACTTCAAAAACAATTTGAAGTACGATTGAAGTACAGTGAAGTACGATTGAAGTACAGTGAAGTACGAGTGAAGTACGGTGAAGTACGTGAAGTACGAAGTCTTGCTTTTTCCCCCTTGGTTATGCATCACTGATTATTTTACTCGATGGATCACTGCCATTGCTTTACCTGACTGTACTGCTCAGACAACGGCTCAAACAATTTTTAATGAATATATCTGTCGATATGGTGTGCCAGTATCAATTTTAACTGATCAAGGCACACATTTCAACAATCAATTAATGGAATCAATGGCTCAGTTAATTGGATATAATCATATATTATCTACTGTTTACCATCCACAAAGTAATGGGATGGTTGAACGTTTTAATGCAACTTTTGTGCCTCAATTGGCTAAACTTCATGATCGTGAGAACAACAATTGGGATGAATATTTACAATCAGTGGTATTTGCATACAATACAGATATCCATGCAGCTACTCAACATTCTCCATTTCAGCTACAATTTGGTCGTGATGCACGTATGCCTACAGATACAACATCAAATTATGTTTTTATAAACCATCAGATTATTACAATCAATTAAAGAAAAGTCTTAAAATTATCCAACAAAATGCTCAAAAACAATCAATTTATTCTCATATGATCAATAAAAAATATTATGATAAAAATCGAAGCAATCCACAATATGAAATTAATGATAAAGTTTTGATTAGAATTCATGGTTCAAGATCAAAATTAGATCCACGCTACTCATTGACTCCAAAAATTATTATTCAAAAACAACATCCAACTTATTACGTTCGAGATCAATTAAATGATCAAATTACTCGTGTACATGTGAATGACATACGTCCGATATTATTATCATAAAACAATTTTACTTTAACCTATAGTTATTGATTTACATTCTTTTTTTTATTGTACGTTTACTTTTATTGTTCACGTTTACGTTTACGCCCTCTATCTGTTTCTATATATATTTTTTTTCTTTTCTATTTATTCTTAGCTACAAGAAGATTCTGTTGATTTGAATCTACCTTTTCCTTTCTGTTCTTTCATCTTTTCCCCACTTCTTTTTGATAGCGATACACATTGTCATACAACTTTATTTGTTATCATTGATTTTCTTTCCTTTCTGTTGTTTGTGTATTTACTGTTATGTCCTTTCGTTCTCACTCATCTAGTCGTAATCGAATGGAATCGTCATGTGGTTCAAGTAGTAAAGCACAAAGTCGTAATATTCGTTTAGAAGAACAAAACAAAAATTATCGACATAAT